GGGTAAATGAGAACAGTTGGCTCTGCCGCCATCAAATTGTAAGAAAGCAGTTCTGCAACTGTCTTTTATTGTCTCGAAAAAGACTCAGTTCTGTGAGCCTTGTCCATTGTCCCACCAAAAAACCAATTAATTCGTATGAAAATAATTAAGATATTAACGAAAGCTTTTTTATACATGTTCTGAAGCTGACGGTGTATATCAAAGGCACAGTTCACAAAAAAAGTCGTTTCTTAGATTTCCACTGTGGATTGTCCAGTGTCTCAGGGGTAACAAAAAGGACGATGTCAGGCCCTAAAACTCGAGAGTTAGGCCACAATAGGAGCACCATTACCGGATCGGCCTGATACTACGCCCATCGACCGATGCTACATCAGAAGAGTGTGGAGGCGATACAGGTTGCAATATTCGCACCAGGACCCACTAGTTCAGCGCACAATCAGCTGGTCTCCGTTGGTAAGGGGTTGTTCACTTCGATTTTGTTATTCTTTGCTGTTCTTTTTGCTGCTACAGAAATTCTGCAGATTTTCTGCTCCGCTGCTGTTGTAGAATATCCATAATGCAGAAGAATAATAGAAGATGGTGAAATTCGATTCCTTACCGGCAATATGGTCGGCTGTATGTCATAGCACACATTGCACCGAGATTTTTTCTATTCACCCCTTTCACGCCTCCTTTGTTTTCTTTGAATACGCCGATTCTCGCGCTATTATCACCCTATCTTCCCCAGTCTGGGCGATCATTTCCGTTCAAACCGGGTACCCAAAAATTATCATGAACTGTGCTTTCGAGAAAGAAGGATGGAAACCTCCGAAGGAAAGGATTCAGTACAAAGTGTAAAGTGGATTAAAAAGGGCATCACACCATTACCAAATGAGGACATTTGGGAGCAAGGGCCTCTTACGCAGCGCTACGAAGATTTCAGCGCTGATAAGTATGCTTATGAAGATAAAACGGGAAGAAAGAAGATTTAAAATGCTGAGCCAGAGTAATCACAAAATGGTTCGAGTGAGGAAAACTTCGTAAATGAGTCGATACACCATTTACAGTACTGAAAAGCTCTGATAGAATTAATAGAAATAGCAATCGACTCCCATCTCTTTCCCAGAAACTTCGTCAAATTGGAGCATTCGAACGACTATTCCGGATGAAATTTTTTCAGTTACTATTTTGTTCTTTCCTGTCCAGAAAAAATTCGGTCTCCGAGCCAATTTTGAGGAGCCGATTTTGTTCGCCTTCTCACTACAGTATTCCGTGAAAAGCAGCTCTACCAATATTCGCAATTACTTCGGGTGCCACATTAGCCTTCACTATGCTATTGAAGAAGTCATAGCTACCCAAGTTACAGTAATCCAGATTCCCTTCTGACAAATCGCCTTTCGTAAGGCAATTCCACTCAACCCATTCGTTTAGTTGTCGTACAGATTGTCAAGCGCCAGTATTAACAGTTAATAGTCAATAAATGAAAGAGCTATAGCCCCTGAGGCAGGTGACGCACGGTCGGAAGCTGTTTTTATCCTCATCTAGACCACCAGCGAGTCTCGTTATAATTTAGCACCTCAACCGCAGAAAACCAATAAACCACCTCAATAAATTCCTAATGACTCAATGGGCTTTGCAAAAACTTTTCCCTCGGCAGCCAATCAGTTTTCCTTCCTTCAAATTTCTTTATGTACTGAATGGCGCAATTCTAATGCTTTCTGAGAGCCATGATATTCGTTCCATGGAATAGGCATCGTTCATAAACCAGAAAACCATTCTATCAAATTCACCAGATATAGTAGCCTAAGGAGGTCCTGGTGACTAATGTGAAATCCTCAGTGAGAGTACATTCGCTTAAGTCTGCTGCCCTTGGCTGAAGTTGCATCTAGTAGGTAACGTCATCGACCCCATTCGAACCTTTTCTTTGAGATGTGCTTATACAGAAGGATAGGAGCCAGTTAGTGTACGTCTAAGAAAACTTTGCATTCTATATAGGCACAAGGCTAAGTAGTTGAAGGACAGAATTCCTCGACACAGGAGCAATTCGACAGAAGGAAACTGCCTACCGTAGTCCTAAAATGGTCGAAACCGTGGCGGAATCCGTGCTGTTGAAAGCGTTTATTTCCAGCAGAATTGCTCCTAATCATCTTGCTGAGAACATCTGTTCCAAGATATCATTGTTTTAGACAATCGAGCCCTCACCTTTTGCCTTCAGCAAAAACGTGTTGAATTTATTGGTGAACAGCCGACTAGATAAAAGAAACGCCGATGTTCATGAAATATTGCTCGGAGAGATAACCGGACACCGAAATCAATCGAATACTGCCCGACTCTGACACGCCGGTAAAAAATTGCCGTGTCGCGCGTGCCACGAAAAAATTTGACTTGAGCGAGTCGACTCCTTTTAGATCTATCTGTCGTCAAGTGTCCCTACCGTACCTTAAACACTTTTGCAGGGGACAATGACTCTTTTCGTGAACATACATTCATCTATAGAAGAATAGATGGTCTTTTCGAAGTCACATGAACATGTTACTCAGAATTCGTAAAAAAAATCTAGATATCCTGAAGCGCCTTCGCTTCCAGTTGGAGGGCTTCTCCACGGGAAGGTGTTGCACCTTCTCGACTGGCATTAGTCGAAGGGTACGTCATACTGCTATGAAAGCTTTTATAACCTATTTTTCTTCGGTAGCCAACACAAAGGAACAGGTGATCTTCATTGGAGGGATTGAGATAATGCCCGCAGGAAAGTTATTATCAAAATTTTATATAGGAGCTTCCTGAAGTTATCTCGATAATCATGCCCATAATTCCTTGAATACACTAGTTACATTGTCGATCGTCACCCATTCTCGTAACACGTTTCCAGTCGCTCTTCGCTTTCGTTAGAAGAAATCGTCACAAGGAATCTCGATGCATGAGCATCTATCTCCCCCATGCTTTTCTTCTCATTCTGTAACTAATTCGTCTCGAATCTCGAAAACCGCGACCTAAATGAACCATGGGGGACCCACTGTTAATTCTCTTAGTTACTAAGGAGTCGGCAATGACTGGAACAAAACTGGTGCAGTGGTTCATAGACGCAAGGTGGAGATACCTTCGGTTAGGTCATCATAATCATGGATTAGCGTTTCACCAGACGAGATAATCATTATGCTGGATATCCGAAAATCTTAGCAAATTCGAAGTAACGGTCGCAGAAACTTTTTTGGTAGAACGAAATTGAAGTGCTAGAAAGTTGGGCATACATGAAGTTGAAGAAGTGAAGGAATAGTGCATGACGTTTTGGATGGGATGAGAAAGAAAATTTTGAAGCTAAGGAACAGTGACCATTTTGCTGTTGGCAAGCAAATATTTCTAGGTTGGCGACAAATTCAAGTGATTGAATTGTGCCGACAAGCATGAAAATTTGATTCACCCAAGAAGAATTCTATCCCCTGTAATTTTGTATTTAAGATATATAGTACCAAAGAAATGCTAGATCGAGAAAAAAGTTTAATAATATGCATACTCACACCACCGTCACTTGCTCAGAAATCCTACTACAGGTACGACGCTTCTTAGGAACATGCAAGCGCTTAACCTTGAACACAAGGACGATATCGGGCTCTTAGTGGAACTTTTAAAGCCTTAAAAATTTTCAAGAGCGACCCTTTCGCTTTAATGTGGAAACATCGTGTCCATCTTCAGAATAGTAAATGAAGCCGCGCCAGACAAGGTTTACCTAAGTCCATAGTCATATCAGGGTGCTCTCAAGACTCTCTCAAGCTATCGACAGCAAGTTCCTCATGGAAAACTTACAATAGTGCACCTTAGTCACCTAAACCCTCAGTCTGTTGATCGTTTCTCACCTGCACGTCTAGTCACATAACTTTCTGGTATGAATACGAAGAAACGATTGCTAAAAATACAAGAATCTCAATCAACCTAAAAAAGGTATTCCGAGGCAAAAAATGGATTTCACTACTTAGTGAGACCTATTTACGTGAATTTTACATCCCACAAGGTAACGAGGTTTGCCTCAACAGAAGCACATAAGGATATGTATGTACATATGTCAAGGGCCAGAATAGTAAAGCCAAGAAGGGCTGGAGTCCGATAGTGCTGGGAAACCAACCTGTGTTAATTTGATAAATCGATTAATTTGTTCGGATTGTGGTGACACGTTTTAGCATTCTCAAGGTATCTAAGCCATATGCTTTTGGTAGATGGTCAGAAGGTAGAGTACGTTGTAGGCAGAGGACAACTGAATTAGGTGGTCCACCACAATGGCGATTCACAATGTAAATGTAAGAATAATTTCGAGAATTTTCTGGAAAAGCCAATGAACAAAAGTGGAGCCTCATTATGATTGAGCTACTGAACGGAATGAAATGCAAAAGAAATGAATTCTGTCACTCAGTTATAAGACTTCAGAATTGTAGTACCCATTATGGTCAATTCCAAAGATCTGAGTTCTGCAGGCGTACAAGTTTTCTGTGCCCTTCGATGGTGACCGGTAAGACACAAGTTTTTCAGATTCTTCCGTACAAACTGTGGAGCCCCGAGCCTCCTAAGAGGACGATCAGATCGGAACGCTAGGTCGGTTTAATGAATGTACACCTAACCACCTCGAACGACACGACAAAATTGACACCCTCTAGAAGTAGTCATGCGAGAAGGTACTGTTTTTTGCTTTTTTGCCGATTTTTTTTCAATTCTTTTATGATTTGATTGACTTAATATCGAAAACTTGACTGAAATGTGGAAATCGTTTGATAATAGTCAAACGCTTGTTGCCAACTCTCCAAGTACATTTTGGAAGCCCAAATAACAATACGAAGCTTACCATCAGAATTTGATGAAGGTACAGTATCACCTCGAACCTCATTCGAAGCATTTCTAAGCTGCCGTTCAATCTGATCCAGTGCTCTACGTTTTGTATTTAGAGCACATAAACTGCAGCTGAAAAGTTGTTTGTCAGGGAGACCTTCAGACGAAGGTTGAGGGCTTTGGAACGTTATGAACCTCTAAATCAGGGAAGATTCTTGAAATATCAACGAACTAACATGCAGTTTCTGTGAGGGCATTTCTGCTTATGACCTTTCTTTGGCTGGTTGAACACGCCATGGTTGGCACACAACTGGCACATGTATTGTTCTTTAGGCATTCTGAAATCCTGCAAATCTCATGAAACCTTAAATTGCATCGTTGAACTAAAACCCGTACCTGTTATTAATCGAACTTCCTCTTTGCCAATTGGATCAAGAAAGCAGGCAGTTATGGCGTGTAGCCGGTGGGCGTGGCCCACCACGGTGGCCGCCCACCAATCGGCGAGGCCGAACCTCATCGGAGACAAACGGGCATCATTTCACGAATGACAAATCGAATGATGGACGAGATATCCGGCATAGGACGAGATTTACTATCCACCAGCTATAATTTCAGTGCAAAATCGTGTTTAATGGCCTCTCGTGAAGAATGATGAATTTGTGATGAATTCCGAGGCTTTGAAGAAAATGGTAGGCTATGGTTTCCGAGGGACCATCCGCCTAGCTCATTTAAAGAGTACAATCAATTCGTAAGATACTATTGGTCTTTCCAAATCTCTCGGAGACAAAGACGCGAGCGAGCGACGAGATTAATCAAAATGCAACTCAGAAAGAGATTTCGACCCGCTGTGGAACGCGCTTCGCCTCGCTTTTTTGCTATAAACATAGTTATGAAGTGACTGAATGAGTGAAAGGCAGTGAAATCAAATCTCGAAAGTTTCATGTTCAAAGAGAGAGCAGCAGACTTTTCCGGAGATCATAACTGAAGAACGAGAGCTAGAGAGTGGTGCATAACTTCCACAAACAGTTGATAAGCTTATTCGGCACCTCATCGGCAGTGACTTAACTGAATCTTACCTTAGTTGAACGGAAATGAATAGGGATCTGTAGACAGCGCTGCTGTAGAGGACCTGCCCACATATCTAGATTTCCTCTAGTTAGAGAGCCCTTCCTTGGAGTTTGGACGCATCAATCTTCACCCAAATTCCTGACGAATCTGGAATTTTCCATCCATATAAGTAGCAGTACCTTAGTGGATTGGTGATGAAAGCTGCTCGGGAATGCTCAGTTTCACTCTTTGATATAATTTCAAATATACCTTTACAAGATCAAGGTATTATAGATGAAATTATAAAGCGTGCAACAATAGAAACTGAGAGGTTTTCAGGCATACGCCAACAATCATCCATAAACCCTACAGCTGATTTTTAAAAAATGTCAGTGCTAGAAAAGGTTTACCATTTGCTAGCTGAAATTCGCGAGCTACTGTTTTTATAGATCTCGTAAACACGGAAATCTCAACAAAAAAATCACTACCACTGTACTTCTGAGCTTTCTGGGCTTCCCAGATCGGATACTTCTTCAAAATTCCAGGCAATGTGAGATCTACATTGTGACTAACAACAGTAACCGTGAAATCCAAGTCTCAAGAGTTGTAATCGGAATGAACGAACAAAAATTTCTTCAGCAACAAGTGAAAAACCAGCGTTCCAGTTTACAACAATTGCAATAATGGTTCAGTCATTGCACTAGAAGGAACCATGAAAATTGTTTAAACTGAAAGTCAAATTTTTGAAGCATTTTCTTTCTATGAACCTTTTATTTTCCTTGGGATACTTTTTGTTGAACTAGAACTCTTTAAGGTTTTCTAGCAAT